TGAATGAAAGCATTAAGGCCCAGCCAAGCTCCACACACTGACTGTGGGTAATGTAATGTTTAAATTGCAGTCATTGCAAACCGGAGAAAAGGGATGTTTAAACCCCGGATTTAAAAAAAACTGAACAAGAGACTCTTTGGAATCTCTAAGTTACTCTGAGTTCCTGGTCAGATTTTTTTTTTTGGGCTGACATAGTAGCACTCTGTGTCTTTTCTGTTCAGACATTGAGTCTTATGATGCTGCTTAGTTTCAAAGAGGATACTGCCAAATTTATTCAGTCACTTGCCTAATTTGCCTAAATCAAGTATGTGTGTCATTATTGCATTATATACTATTTAAACTGAGCTGGATGTTGACATCACTGAATTCAATGATGAACTGTCTTTAACTGAAAAATTTGTGTTTACTATTGTCATTTTGCATTATTGACACTATTTTCCTAATTAATGCTGTTCAGTTGCTTTGACACAATCTGTATTGTTAAAAGCGCTATATAAATAAATAAAGATAAATAAAGGTATTGCAAATCTTAAACTTTTGAATGAATATTGTTGCAAACTGTACTGATTTAAATTTGAAACCACAGTAAAATTGTAAAAAGTCAAAATTGTGTGAATTTGTGAATATAGTCTTGGAACAATCGATTAGAATGAGTTCAGTAAGGTTTGGCGATAGATAGATAGATAGATAGATAGATAGATAGATAGATGTCGGCAGTAAAAATCAAATAATCCTTATTGTTGAGGCAGTAAATGTATGATGTGTCTCTTAGATGTAGGGCTGGACGATATGGCCAAAATTTATATCACAATATATTTCTTAATTTCAGTCGATACGATATAATTCCGATATCGATATGAACACTATTAAAAAAGCCCTTATAAAAACGGCCAAGGACAGCCACAACAGATGTCTGTACCTACAAACTTATGAAAAATTTATTTGCCAACTCTACATATTGATATTGAATTATTGTCCAGCCCTACTTAGATGTATGAAAACTGTCATGAAGCATGTGTTGGCCTGTGGCAGAAACCTTTGTGGTGTTATTAATACCGACTGTAGAGGCATTGTGTCTGTCTGTTGGTTTTTTTATTAGGACTCGCGCATGGAGCAAATTTATTGTGCTAATCCACTATGCTGCTCCCCTCCTCCTGCAAGGGGTTATGCATGGGCCATGTAAATTTAATAACTCACACCCTTAAAGCCGAACATAAATCTAATTAGGAAGGAATGCCCGTTTCTGCAAAGGACTCTCCAGGTCGTCTCATGTTATGTGGGGTGAGCACAGATTGAATGGTCATTAAGGTCTATTTGGTGGAAATGTCACTCTGTCTCTGGATTGTAGGGCACTTCACAGTTTAATGATTTCATTTGTTTTCTCTCTCCTTTCAACCGACTACAGGTGAGTCTACGGCTGATCCTTGTGAGTGGGAAGACGCAGGATTTCACTTTCTCTCCAAATGACTCCGCCACAGACATTGCCCGGCATGTTTTTGAGAACTGGCCAGCAGGTATGTTTTGATTATAATTTTAGCTTTTGTTGAAGTTGTATTTGTAGTTTAAGTATTGTATTAGTATTTAACACACTTTTTTATGCATATAACATTTTAAACACGTGGAGGTCCAATGCAAAAACAACTGTCCTAGTTATAAGAAATTATGACATTTACAGAATTTGAGGGAACAGTCACTTTAAAATATCTACACTACTGTTAAACAGTTCATGGTCAGTACAATTGTTTTTTCAATAAGGATGCATTAAATTGATAAAGAGGTTTGTCTTTCAAATAAATGCTGTTCTATTGAACATTCTCTTCATGAATCAATGGTTTCCTATAAAAAGTCACATCTGTTTTCTCAAGCGTCACATCTGTTTTCAACATTGATAACAATAAGAAATGTATTTTGAGCAGCAAATCAGCATATTAGAATAATTTCTGAAGGATCATGTGACTAGAGTAGACTAGAGTAATGGCTGCTGATAATTCAGCTTTTGCCATTGCAGGAATAAATTACATTAGTGTTAAATAGAAAATAATTATTTAGATTGTAAAAATGTTTTATGTTATTACTATTTTTACTATTATTTTTGATCAGATAAATGTAGAAGTCTCTTGAGGATGAGACTTTTTTCAGAAACAATCTTACTGACCCTAAACTTTTGAATGGTAGTGTATTTTTCTCATTCGCAGATGTATGGAGAAAATATTTTCTTATTGCTAATTTCCACTGTATTTCATCTGTGGTAACAGTCAAATTATGGTCAAAATATGAGAATTTTTTTTCATAGTAAAGCATCATGAAAGCCTGTTTCTGTAGTGAATGTGATGTCCTGTGTTGCAGGCTGGGAGGAGGAGAGCGTGAGCAGCCCCAGCATCCTGAGGCTGATCTTCCAGGGCCGCTTCCTGCATGGCAATGTCACACTAGGTGGTGAGCACTAGACCTTGTCTTCATGTCTGTCATGGTGTGTCTCTGTTACTTTGCCTTGCTCTAGACACCATTACACATTTTTGTGGACAAAAAAGGACAGTGAAAGTTGGAAGTTGTTAAAATATGCTGTAGGTCAGAAGCTGTGTTTTTACTGCGCAAAGTGACCAAGTTGTGTGCCGATATTCAGTATGTAACTTCTCTGTTGAATAGCTCTGAAGTTGCCCCCTGGCCGAACAACTGTCATGCACTTGGTTGCCAGAGAGACGCTGCCAGAGCCGAACTCCCATGGTAAGTGCTGATATTCCTCTGGCAAGCTCCTACTGCTCTAAACATGGCTGAATGTCCTTGGCTTGCCTATCCATATCCACTTTTTGTTTTAAAGACAAGGGCACAGCAGTTATTGGAGGACTGCTGCCAGGTGGCAACTGGCTCCAATCTTCCAAACACATTATAATAATTAGGAGGCATGCAGTCATATTAGAGACTGAACACTGAGCTTTATTCAGTCACACACTGTAATACAAGATGTCTGTAAACTTATCCGTGTCATTTCCTGTTTGACGAGTTGTGCTGACTTTTTTTGAAGCAAGCTTCGAATTCATGATGACTGTTGTTACATTTGAAATGAGGAAGCAGGTTACATGCTTTGATGTCTTCAGAATAAATTATAGAAACGTTTCCTGGCAAGTGACTCCGCATTCACGCTGTCATTTTACCGTAGATAAAGTTAACGTGAACTTAAAATGGCCCATTTTATCCCACAGTCCGTGTGGTTTTAAGTTTCCTTGATTTCATGTGAAGTCAACATGAAAACAGGAATGAGCATATTTACTATATTAATATATGCTACAGTTCTAAAGTTCGGGGCAGTTTCTGTTTTAATATTTTTTTCAAATGTAATTTATTCCTGTGATGGCGAAACTGAATTTTCAGCATCATTACTCCAGTCTTTAGTGTCACATAAATAGTTCTAATATTCTGATTTGCTGCTCAGAAACTTATCATATTCATGTTTTTGCAGAGATCATGATTTTTCCAGGATTCTTTGATAAATGTCAAGTTAAAAAGAACAGCATTTATTTGAAATATTTTTGTAACATTATTAATGTCTAAACTGTCACATTTGATCAATTAATGTGTGCTTGCTGAAGTATTAATGTCTTTCAAAGCCCCCCAAAAAATCTTGTCGACCCAAACTTTTGAACTGTAGCGCATGTCCTTGGTCTTACTATGAACGCTTCATCAGTGTGTTATTCCAAAAAACAAAACAAAAATGTGTTTGTCATTGTGATCTTTCAACTTACTCCACTTCAGAATTTACTTTTACTAATCCTTTACAGCTGATGTCACCTTGGCTGTGCACTATTGGTTACTGTTAACCCATGTTAACCAATAGACAAATCACCATTGAAGCATTGCTTCAGGCTCCTTGTAGTAGGAAATGCAGGTTTCTGAAAAATGTATTAGGTAATGCAGTGATTTAGTTGTCATAATAAGTATGACCACAACAATAACAAAGAAGCATTATCACTGGAATTGAAATGTTTTCGAGGGTAAACTTGAGCCTGATTAGTATAGAAAGCCCATTTTTCAGAATCCAGTCCATTCCTGATGGATAAAAAACAGTCCTGTTTTGCATGTCTCGTTCAGTATTCTCTTTTACTGAAATGCCTCAAATTACAGAAGCAAATGTGCTCCGAATGTGGTTTCATGTTGACTCTAATGCCACCCCTCATTAGTTACCGACTATTTACACATAGCATGTCATTCAAGGAAGAAAACAGGCTATTTTCTAATAGAAGAAAAATAATGCCATGTGTCTTTAAACCAAAAAAAACGTTGAATAGCACTAACTGAACAAATAATGCATTGCATTAACAGTGCTTGTATTTTAATGCCTTGTATTTCCAGGGCTCAGAATACACTTTATTGATGATTATGCGAACTATATACAGGCAATCAAATGAGGTCAGAAGAACGCTACTCCATTTTCTTTATAATTTATTTCCCTTACCACTGATCTATTGAGTCAACAGCCATACAAAGATATCAACACCATGATTAGTTTTAACAATATGCAACCATGTTATATTGACATAAAAATAGGAGTTCAAATCCACCTAGGTGTATTGTTGCTGCAAATTTAAACCGGAAAAAGCATTGACGCGCTATCACACCCAAGTCTGACAATTCCAGACTGACAAGTCTGACAATTCCACCGACTGGGTTAAAACGTACAATGTATTTGAATTAAAATGACTTAACATTTAAAATAACAGTTAAATTGTAAAGCTCGTATTGCTCATAGTGATTTACTACTGGTAAGATTTTGCCAATACCTCCCTTCATATCTGTACAGTACACAATTATTTACATATAAAAGTTTTTTTCATGTTCCAACGGTTGTAGTACATTGCTAGATACAAAACTAGCTTACTACAGGTTAGATTTTGCCAATATCTCCCTTATGGTATGTACAGTACACAAATGTATTTTTAAAAAACTACAGTAATTCACCAAAAGGGTTTTTTTCATGTTGCACAGGTTGTAGTACGTTGCTAGTTACAAGACCGACTGACTTCATGTGAAATTTTGCCAGTTTCTCCCTTACTTTGTACCATTCGCAATTATAATAAAAAATCTGTAAGACCCCAAAAGGGATTTTTCATGTTCCAAAAGTTGTAGTATAAAATATTGATGTACTTTATGTACAATAAGGGAGGTATTAGCTAAATTTCACCTATAGTAAGTCAGTCTAGTCACTAGGAATGTACTGCAACATTTGGAACATAAAAAAAAAACTGTGAACTTTACAGTGAGGAAGATATTGGCAAACTTTACAGTGAGGAAGATATTGGCAAAATTTACAGTGAGGAAGATATTGGCAAAATTTCAACTGTAGTAAGTCAGTCTGGTCTCTAGTAACACACTAGTAACACAACATTTGGAACACGAAAGACCCCATTTTGGTGAATTACTGTAATTGTTTTCTTTAAAAAATATTTGTGTAGTGTACATAGGGAAAGTATTGTCTAAGGCGGGTTATTGGCAATATATATTTAGTCAGTTTGAGTAAATTATTCATTTACTGTAAACATTAATTTGACTAAATTATTGGACTTCGTTTTGTACTGTGAGGTAAATCAGCCTAGGCGAATATGCACCGAATATCAAACCTAAAACTACCGCACTTGGTTTTCTATGGGAGAAAAAATGGTTTGGTGAAACTTTGTGGGTTGTGGGCTCATATTCTGGGTTCATCTGCTTAAATGTACATAATATACAGTAATATATATTATTAATTAGGTGCCGAATTTAATAATTTATTATCTCTGTCTTGAGGCAATAAACCAGGTTAAGTGTTTTCTTTATGGGAAATGTTTAACGTGCAGTTTTGCGCGTTCCGTAACTTGCGTTCATATCCTCCTCTGCCTGTTTATAGTTTCAGTTTATAGTTTCATCTGTTTACAGATCAGTAAGATCTGAGTTTGGTCTTTTAATAGCTGTCATTGCGTTAATGCACTGCGCCACGTAATGCGTTTTCTTTAACAGATTTCTGAGGGGAATATTATACATCGTATTTTTAAACAGATTGAATATTTTGGAAGTGTATTCTGGAAGGTGAATATGAATTACTGAATTGTTAATTATGAAAATGTGTGTGAAATATTTTGAATTGAAATATTCACAGCTTAAATAAAAAACGGTGTTAAATTTCAGGACCTAAAAATGCAAGCCCTGGAAATACAAGGCATTAAAATGCAAGCACTGTTAATGCAATGCATTATTTTTTCAGTTAGTGCTATTCAACGTTTTTTTTGTTTCAAAGACATATGGCATTATTTTTCTTCCATATTTTCTCCTCCATACGTCATCATAGTATACTGCTTTTCCCTCACATTGTTCTAACTGAAGAATGTTTCAAAGAAGGACCTGTGATTGTGTTTTTGTCTTTGATTTATTAGGTGTCACTCAATATTTGCTCTCTTCTCGTAGGCCAGAGGAACAGGGAGAAGGCGTAATGCATTTTCTTTAACAGATTTCTGAAGTAAATAGCGTGAAACCTTGCGCGTTCGTTCATATTCTACATCTGCTTAACTGTTGATGTAGTTCGCATAATCATCAACCCCCACCTCCTCCTTGTCTTTCTGCTCCCCGCTCCCGTCTCTGCTCACCAACCCGTGGTGCATTCTGGATGATTACAGAAGAGCTCCAGGGAGAGTGCGACTAGGTTTTTGTTCAGTGTTTTTGCTCTGTATAGTAGCTGGAGACTGCTGTGCCAAGTTTATCAAATCTCATATGTTTGCCTTCATTCGGTTTTTCTCGTTTCGTTTGGTTGCCTAATTTACTTGCTTAGTGAAGTGGCCGTTTGTTTCCAGGCCTCCTGAAAATATTAAACTCCGCAAATATGAAATACCTGAATCATTGACAGGAAATGATGTAAACCGTTGTGTGAACAGGTTTTTAGGGGGATGTCCTGTACTCGAGAGACCTTCTGCTCTCCCAACACCCAAGTGTCCGAGTTTTCACTTGGATCACACGTCTGACTCAGACGAAGCTTAACATGTGTCATAATCTCAGACTTTTGATTGCACTTAACACGGATCCTTATCTGAAGTCACTATATGTGTGTTGTAGTCTTAATCCTCCCGCCTGCCTCAAACAGAAGGAGCTTACGGAGAGAGAGAGAGAGGTGTGATGACAAGCGCCAGTCTGTTGCTGTGGACCGAGGGAGTCTGCTGTAGCGCTGGTGGATTTGATGTGCCATGGCCACCTACGATTCTTGCCTTTAGTCCTAGGACCAATCGAGAGTAGATCTCAAAGTCGCCAGACTCTTCTTACTGACCAGTTGTGTCAACATCTGTGCTTGACCCTAGTCTTGTGTTTCCTCACCCTGGATGTGTACCAGCCGCCTTTAAAAACCATTCACCCTGTGTCTACTTGAATGGCGTTTTTTATTTTCCTCGTCTCCACTGAAGAAGCATGAGGGAAGGTTGGCGATTTTGTGCTTGATGTGAAATGACACAAACTCATCTTCTTGCCCAGTCAGGATATATCATCATCTCTATCCTATTCCATTCTTGTCTAACGTGCGTCCTGAGGGACAAAGCCCAGGCGCAAAGAATAAGGAAATCATCAGAAAGCCTCTGTCTGGAGCGAAGGGCTGGGCTGGTAAAAGCCCCCATTATAAGCGCTATGGATTCATGAACCCCCTGCTGCGCTGCAGCTTTAGAGGTAAAGATGTGTGCCAGGAATGGCCACCCCTAATGGCCTCCAACTGGGCTGAAAGAAAGAAAAAAAAATAAGTGTTTTATTTCCTAATGTTTGTATGCCGTCTGTTTTGTTTGCCTTATGATTGTGGGAAATTAATATTATTAATAATGGAGTCATTTTTATCTTGTCTGAGTACGGTTGAGTTTTTATTAGTACACATAAGATGGCTGACTCATGTTAATTGTGTGTGTGAGTGGATGAGGCTTTTTTTTTTTTTTTTTTTTTGGAAAGATAGTACAGTTGTTGTGGAAAGTGTCCACTGGAACTGTCTCCAATCTTGTTTTGATTGGCCAATTACTGCAAGAGTGTTTATTATTGTCACTGCTATGAAAATTAGCTGCAAATTATTAAATGTAAAAAAAATCCCTAAATCTTGTATTATAAATTAATAAAACCTTTCAAATAATACTCCGGTGTTCCTGTGAATTTTAAGATATTATTATTACTACTATTCATTTTTTTAAATTTTTTTATCATGAACCCCCACCCATTTGCTTACTGGGCAACATCCTTACAGTCATGAAAAAATACACAATAGAAATACTACAGTAAGATATAAACCAGTGTGTATGTAATATATATAATGTGTATACAACTGCAGTACTAACTATTAACCATTGCTAGTTTACAATTCGGTGACTATCTTCTAGCATGGTACTTTATGCGTTGTTGTTGTTTATTATTATTATTATTATAATTAAATGTGCTTTGGGTCTGGCGTTGCGTTAAAAGACAAATAACCGTTTTTACAACCTACTGGGTTGAAAGACATTGTCACGTCCTTTATAAATGAATCCGCAGCTCTGTGTGTTTGCGTGGTGCTGTGGTTCAGCCTCTAGATGGCGATGTGGCTCCGGTTCGCTGGGGGGTTCTGTGACGTCATCCTCGACTGCGCGCTTCCAATATTTCTCTCATTTACTACTAGGCCAGTTTCGGCACAGTTGAATATAAGCTAGTTCTTGTGTTGATGCAATGACACTTCCTTAAACAGAGGAGCCAGCATAAACAGTATTATTACTTACCTTTGTAGTCATGCTCTGGAAAGGCAATAGTCGTTTTGTTATGACCATGTATTTCCACTGACCGCTTGACAGCAGGCTAAGTAGCGTGACCCATAACATTTCTTTCCGCTTTTAATGATTGCAATGAGCCTTAATTTATTGTAGACATTTTCTAGTTTAATAGAAATTTCCTTCTGTTTTTGAAAAGGCCTTTCATGACTTCTTGTTGAGACGTTTCCAGCTGACGTTGGAGGAGAACAGAAGAAAGAAGTATTGTCCAGATCATGCACTGCAGCTCACAAATTCATAATCGCTTCATAGTGAACTGTTCGTGGTGTGAGCCTGTTTCTTTTTGCACTGGGCCGCACAATCATAATAAACCTGGTATGAAACACAGAGAATGAACCACAGTATAACCTTGTATCTGCTAAATATCTAATATTAAACACCTAAAATGAAATATATATGCATGCATACAATGTCATATTTACTTGTGTACAACTACTGTTCAAACGTTTGGATTCTATAAGATTTTTATTGTTTTTGAAAGAAGTCTCTTCTGCTCACCAGGGCTGCAAGTATTTGATCAAAAATGCATTTAAAACTGTAATATTGTGACTTTTACCATTTAAAACGACTGTTTTCAATTTGAACATGTAATTTATTAAATGTATTTTATTCTTGTGATGCAAAGCTGAATTTTCAGCATCATTACTCCAGTCAAGTGTCACATGAGCCTTCAGAAATCATTCTGATATGCTGCTCAAGAAACATTTATTATAATTGTTGAAAAGCAATGTTTATTATTTTATTTTAAAAATAATAATCATTATTTTTAAGGGGGTGATTCTTTTCTATGCCCACTGAATACTGTCATAATTACTCCCAAAAATTATTTGCACCAAATCTCTACAACCACAGCTTCCAATTTTTTTTTTTTTACAGTAGCCTAACGGTTTTAAAAGATATGTTTATTGAATATGTTCATTGGTTATATATTTGTGTAGGCCTAATTGTGATTAGCTCCACTTTAGTCAGCCTGAATCCTGTCAGTCTTCTAAACTTTAGCTGTAATAATATACTTAACCTGTGAGTTCAGGTCTCTGTTGCTTGTTATGTGTGAAGGGATGGATCAGGTCCAGGGTTAACCTAAACAGTAAGCACCACTAATGGTTTAGCAGGAGGTCTCGTGGGGGATTGGAAAGAAACGGCAAGAGTGATGGAGCAGCTGCCTCACAACTTAAAACCTCTCTCTTTATCCTTCTGTTTGGTTTTAGGGATTCCCTGAGGTCATACACAAATATGTATGGTCAGTGGAAGTGGTGTGATCTATTTAACCCCCAGAGACCTTTCTCCAATAACTTCTATATATCTTTCACTCTAAAATGCATCTTTCATGTGACCTCCAGTTTATATGAGTGGAAAATACACAATAAACAATGTCACGTTTAGCACCAGTAGGGGACAGTTTTTGGTTTGTCTTCAGGTTCCAGAGTCCTAATTCTGCCTGTCCTGCTTCCAGACTGTCATTACAGCTGATATTAAAACCAGATGTGAACAAAGCGAGCTGGCTACCATTAGCCTGGACCAGAAGCATTTCATTCCTAGCATAAATACTGGGGCACAGGCCTCACATCAAATAGTGGGACATGACGTGTAGCCAAGTATGGTCTCCCATTCTCTGCATTTAACCCATCCAATTGCACACACACTGTGAACACACACTCAGCATTTTTGCTGCGGCCCCCGGGGAGCAGTTGGGGGTTAGGTGTCTCATCTCAGTCGTGGTATTGAGTGAACTATCAGAATGAATCAAACTGAATCGCAAACTATTTCACACCTGTTTTGAGCAATAGCGATTCATTTGCGAATCGCTAGTGTTTTTTTTTACTTATTTCATTAGGGTCTAGTGCCACCCCTGGCCTCGACTCTGTAACCATCCATCCAGATCATTTGCCCTGTGGTATTCTGTTGCTTATCAGAGTAGCAAGTAGTAGTGTGTCTGAGAGAGTATTGTGTGTCAATCCAATTTCCCTGCCACAAAGAGGGCATGAGCATGTGTGCCAGAGCTGTCATTCTGCACGCATGCTTGCATCCTCTGCCAAGTCACTGCTCGAGGCCTGAGAGAATCTGTAGCCAGCGGATACACGTCTTGAATGTGGGAAACACTTTCGTGACTGCACTAAAGGTCACGCCCCTCACCGCTCACCCCAGCTCCTCCAGAAACCATTTTCTCAATTATAAGAATGACACGAGTGCATACGGCTGCGGTTTCACATAGGAAAATCTGTTAAATAAGACCCGTGAGCTGGAGCTATCTGACTGGAGTGGGAATGGACAGGCCTCTTTATTTTCATGGCAGGTCTAGGGAGGCACCAGGGCGTTGTTACATCTCCCCTTTTATTTGCCTGTTTATTTTACCAGGTGGTCCCTTAAGTTCAATAACATGCCACTGAAAAAAAAAAAAAGGAGAGGAAGGGAGGGCTGTAGGGAGGGCTGTTTAATAACAATGTGAGCTCTGTACCTCGTGGCGATGGACGGAGAGTGAATGAGGGAGGCCAGCTCAAGAGGATTTGCAGACGTGCCTCAGAGCATTCTGGGTGGAGAATTTCTCACACTGTTTTAGTACAGCAGTGTGATAAACATCAGCTGTTGTTGTTCGTTCTGTTAGCTGTCATGCAGCCATCTCAGTATGATCACTTATCCTCATATGCTACAATTTTGTTGTAATAAAAATTGTTTTTTGGGTTGAAATGTGAAATTTGTACATAAAATATGAGGGCTAATTGTTTGAATGACCTTAACATCCATTCAGCACAAATTACAAATGTATAATTGTCTTTGATATAATTTGGAACAGACTTTTCCCTGTCATTGACACCATGGTGTTGATATATATATATTTTGTATTAGACTCAAAGACACTTGTTTTTTAAAGCTGGAAGACAGCAAACAAGTGTCAGGTTGTTGCATCTAAATTGTCAAAGTGGTTTTTAGAGCCCTTCAAGAGCCCCATTGCCTGGTTTTCTTTACGGCAGGCATTCAGGGGGTCTCCATCTCAGGAATGGCACAATTCCAGAATGTTTTTAGGGGGGAAAAGGAATAATGCATTTTTGTGTTCGCTGCTATGGGTTTACAAACCAAACAAACATAATTTTCTCCTTGTTAAAAAGTTGTGAAGAAAATAATGAGACCTTAACAAGAGAAGATCAGAGCACAAGTGCTCTCGTTTTGCTGCCACGCAAATTATTTACAGCTGATGTGTGAATTTTAAGCAAGTTTTTTTTATTGAGGTTTTGGAACATTTTCTTCCTAATTGTCTTTCTTTGTGTAATGAGTAGGCATTAGGAGCACTGGCTTCTCTGGAGTTGATAGTGCTGAAGATGTACGACCCTCAGTATAAAACTGATGAGAGGGAGCCAAACACTCAGCGAATAGCGTTCGGGATCACTATGGAGATTTCCAGCTAAGGGGGTCAGTCACATATAAGGAGAAGCTCAGACCACAGAGAATTTGTTTGGTTTTGAGCTTTTATACTGATTTCAGTTGACTGCTTTTGCCTGTCTTGTGATATTTTTTGCTTTTGACTACTGTATAATTTGTTACATACTGCTAAATTTAGTGTCCACATTTGCAATGCATTACACTATATGGAGTCCAAGACTGAGACTATATTGAAAAAAGTTTGAATAATAAAACAATTGATTAATTTACATTTTAGACACAATATAGCCAGTTAGTTTGTCCATTTTTACTCAACCACGAAATCAGCCATGGTGTTTTGTTCTTAAATCAGAATTGAGTTAAGGAATTTGTTGAGTGAATAATTCAATGACTCACTCGTTATGATATTGGCTGTTTTTGAAATTGCATACTGTCATTGTCATGCGACCTACCAGTATCATTTGAGTTTCTTCACTGCCATTATCCTCTCCCTGGCCTCATGCCCATCAGATATGCATTTCAGAATCTCACCGGAAATAGTAGGTCATCCAGGTACTTTTCGCCTGCTCTTTCATGAATACTGGGAATTCGGACATATACGTTTTTCATAGTAGGGAAGTATGCAGTTTCGGATACAGCCAGTTTTGTTACAAACAAAAGGTCAGATTTTGTACCCTACTGTACATATTTAGAACTGATTAAAACAACAAGATCAAAGCCATTAAAATGTTTGTGCTTGTGTGTTCTTTGTGGCTCTATCTTAATTGTAACTGCAAGTCTGGGGATCCTTTGTATTTATCATCTCCACGCTGCAAACTAAAAACATCCCCCATCATCCATAAATCTTCATTAGGTTTTCACGAAACAAAATATACAGACATGTGCCTAAACCAAGCATCAGCTCAGTTGCTATGTTTATCATAAGGTTTTTGTGTTGTGTGCTTGTTTGCATTCCTCTTTTCTAATCTTTCTCAGGCATTTAAAGTGGATCCATCCAACCTGTGAAAGCAGCTTGCCACACAAAACCACACGCATATGACTTAATATGATGTCTTGCTTTTAGATGTGGTACATGAGGACTAATTCCATCTGTGAGCAGAATGATTTATGGCAGCCTGTTTGGAGCACTATTCTGACTTAAGTGAGTTTGCCGAATTATTTCTCACATTGCATAACCATGGGATGTTTATCACGAACCAAGTGGACTGCCAACCTTTAGGTCCCTGGAGTCTGTCATGCCATTATGTCATCCAGCACTAAAAGTCCATGAGTGGTGTATGAAAGATTTAGTTTCTGTATGTTGCTTAAGACATTTTAATAAAGCTCCTCAATGATTTCACAGATGATCTGCATTTCCAGTAAGTGTGAGATCTTTATGCTGTGCCAGCCAAAGAAAGTGTGAACCATCCGTGTGCTGAAATATGTTACTTAATTCACAGGAGGAGGTCACAAGACCGCTAAAGTTCATCTAGAAGTCTAATCTCCATTTATTTCTGCAGGACAAACAATCCAAAAACATTTTATTTCAAAGTGCATGTTTGAGATTAAAGGGGGTCATATGATGTTGCTAAAAAGAACATTATTTGGTGTAATGAAATGTGTTTATGCGGTTTAAGGTTAAAAAAACACATTATTTTCCACATACTGTACATTATTGTTTCTCTTCTATGAATACCTAAAGCGTGTGACGGAAATGTTACGTATCTTACCATATTGTGATGCCGTGTCCTGGCCAGAGCGAGCGACGAGACAAAAACATTAAAACCCATTACAAACGAGGCATTCTGCAGGATTTATTTCTGAGCTCTTAAATTTTTAGTTTATTTCCAGTCTTTCTGCAAATTATAAATAATTATAATCGATGATGGCTGGAATCACTTTTTTTTTTTCTAACAAGGATTAATGTTTCCATGCTGCCCTGCTGTTTTACCACAGCACAATATCTCTCACAACACTGCGTCTTTAAGGTCAGTCATTAGGAAAAGATTACAAAGTGGAAGGATTACAAAGTGCTGAGAGCTTTCTGGACTCGCTTAGGCGTTCTGCTGCTCCACGGATGTTCTGTACCTGCAGCTCCAGCCAAAGTGAGAACAACATAGGTTGGATCCCGAATAAAGGGGGGGGGGGG